TTGGAGGCTACACCGGGGAGGGAGGGGGGGGGGGTTATATTGACCTATGGTGCAGATTGACCACGGTATGACCCGAGGTCGGACTTATCCCCTCAAATAATGGTTCATTTCAGGAACCAAAGATAAAGTAAAGCACAGTCCACTCAGTATACAGTATCGTCTTAAGCACGAAATTCACAAAATTACGGACACATGTGAACTCTCCATTAATCTGAAAAATGTAGTTCAAGTACGTGTGAGAAGGAGGAAAACTTGAAAAAAAAATTAAAAAGTAAAATTTTTATCACGTTAAGCAGAAAGAAACCAAGCCTCGTCAGATATTGCCAAATTTAATCGGGCATTTAATGTCGTACTTGAAAACGATTGTAAGGATTTTTGTGCAAATTTCAGTGAATTTCAGCATAGTACGGAGGAAATTCCGTAAAATTTTCATAGGAATCCTTACAAACGTTCTCTTGTAAAAAATTAAATCGTCCAGTTTTTGGCAGTAGCTTATGTAGCATGTTCTTCTCTGCTAAACGCAGTCCATTCAAACCTAATTTCTAAAAACTGCCGTGGCGAAACTGAGGGTGTTCCGTAGGAACTGGCCTGCAAAGAGAGAGACCGTTTTTATGACATTTTTCTCATAATCAGTGAATATGCCTTCGCGACTGGCTCGACCGCTCCAAATCGATACGTGAAAAACTCGCAAAAAACCCGCGAATTTCTCGGGCACTCGACAACGTTGCTGGAAATGCTAAAGGAAAGCCTTGAGCAAACTTGAAGAGAAAGCTCGTTCAAAGCTAGCATCCCGGAGCCGGGAGCCGGAGGTCAGGCCGAGGATGCATTCGCCCCCCCCCCCCCCCTAATCCGCCGTCGATGATTTCGATTGAAAATATCGGGAGCTGAGCTCAGGTGCGCGCTTAAGCGGACACTTCCCGATTCTGACAGTGCTGCCCTGCAAAGAAGGAACGCCGTATGAACATTCGAGAGTTGCCAAATTTCCTTAGATAATATGTTTATTTTTGAGGAAAGTTATGAATATTTTTCCTCGAAATCTTTGGGAACTTTAGATGAAATTGCGAAAAACATTATCTGAAGAATTGGAAGAAAAATATTCAAAAAATTACTAGGAAATTCGCGTTTTATCAAGAGAAATTTGGAAACACCGCGTTTTTCCTTAGCACGGCAGAGTGGTGTACAAGTTGCACGGACGCGAGCAAAAGCCGCGAGCAAGAAAAACAGTGCACTTTGCTTCGGCTCTTTCATCTTTATTCCATGTTGTCGGGTTGCAGACTCCTAACATCGTCTTAAGGGCAGTGGTGAGACGTGAATGATCGATTATCGATTATTTCCCCATTTGAAGATGTCGTAAGGAACCTTGTTAATTGGTTCCATACGGTATTCCTATTAATCGGTATCATTTGCGAACACCCAGTTTATCGATCCTTTTCAATAAGTTAAAATGGCAGATCAATCGATGAATCGCCGAGTACGCCACGCCACACAGTGGATCGAGTCAATGGGAGAGGTCGGACAAACTTTGGAAACTTTAAAAGCTCATGACTCATTTTATACAAAATTTTAAAGTTCTGCAAGTGGTTCCATTGGTTTCCTCGTGAAATTTTAAACTCGAGGCACCCCTTGAAATTTAAAATGTGACAAAATAAACATAAAAATGTGCAGTTTTAGTAAAAAATTTCATGTCTGACCTCCCTAATTGATTCGATCTACTGTGCGCCACCGCTTAAGGGTCGTTCAAGAATAATAAACAATTTTGTCTGGAGGTCAGTGAAACGTGCCTCCATGAGTGATCGAATTTCAAACCAGTGGGTCGCTAAATCATAAACATATTTTGACACGTGAGACACTCTCACTGATTTCATTGGCAAATGACGCATAGAACACGATTTGCTCACTAAGAACGCGAAAAAATAACTCGGTAACTGAGAAATACGCAGATGAAGAAACGCAACTTTTCCGCTTTAAAATGCAACGGCTTCGCGCTGCAAGGCGAGGTTTAAGTTTTGGGTCTTAACTGGCAAGATGGAAACATTTAATCATATCAATTTTAAGAACACATGTTCATACTTTGTTCAGATTTGATTACCTACCTAGCTGCTTCGGACATTGTCTCCTGCTTGAAATTTTGAAAATTAATCTGTGTTAACGTGGTGCTGAATTGAGTTTAGGAGGAAGGAACCAACACCCATCATTAATTGAAATAGAATGATAGGTTTGACGTTTCCACTTCCAAAGGAAAGATTCTATGATATCAACAATAGGAGATCGGTGTGGATACTGAATATTTTCGTGGGTTACCTACGCTTTTTCGGCAGGAGAAATAAAGTTAAAAGGAGCAATTGAGCATGATGCAGAGTCATAAAGTTCCTTGGCTCTGATCGTATGAGCACTAGCTTATGTGTACAAATGAGGGGATTGGAGGACAAGGCGCACAAGTTCATTTTTTGCTATATTGAGAAATACGTGTTAAACGTGTTTGAAGCTTCGAAATTACACGGATCCTTATGGCAGAAAGAAAGTTCAAACTGATTTTTAATGCTTAAAAATTGGAATTTTTCACAGCACATGCATTAAGACTAGTTTTACTTGAAATCATTAATATCTCAATTTCTTCAAATACTGCATTTATGCGCCTTGTCCTCCAAACCAGTGGCGTGGCGTCCATAGGTTCGCAGTGTTCGCCGAACACCCTAAAATATTTTGATACAATTAATAAATTATGGCTAAGAATGTGGGAAGCAATACAGAATACAGAATAGTAGATCGCAAATAAGTATCGGGCGCTTGGCTTCCGACAGCGGCATGTGGCGCGGCGGAGAGAGAAAATCCTGTGACGCGTGGTCCGCACCGGCTACCGAACCTGGATGATTAGCGTACAGTGAGGAGAGAGAACCTGGGTGCAATGATGAAGGGGCAAAAGGTACACGAGAGAGGAGAGGCACCGGAGCATTGGGTTCGGAGACGAGTGCGGACCGCGCTCGCGGAGGGAACACAGCAGAGAGAAAAGGGAGGGGAAAATAACGAGAGAGGAGATCCGCTCATCAGTCCAGCTGTTTCCTATAGCAGTGGTCCGCAGGGGTTTGCGAACCGCCGAATTTCCTCCATGACGCGATTCGCCCTCCGCTTCCCCCCCTGCGCCCGCATCTCCCAGTTTCCCAGTCTCCCTCTCCCACCTCTCTCTGCAGGTGCGTGTTGCGAAAATACGTTATCATATAACAAAATAAATTACAGGAAAACGATCGGTAAAAAGAACAAAATTTCAATGACAATTTACCGGCACAATTTTCACCAGAAAGGGTTAAAATCGTGTTCTTGCGGCTTCATTCTTTAAAAAGTTTCCGGGGGAGGCCCCCCGAACTCCCCTTTAAGGAGGGGGAGTGAACCTTTCTGACCCCCCCCCTCCTAAAGTTAACACTCCTACCGAACGCCTACCGGATATAGTCACGCCACGCCTCTGCTCCAAACCCCTCAAATAGTTACTGTAAACAAGTTCAAAACCACCTACGGGTCAGTTTCGTGAAGCAAGAACTTGATTCTTTTTACTAACCTTAGTTAAATTGGACCCAAATTAGGCAAAATAACGTGATAAATTTACAAAATCACCTATTTATGAGGGGATATCCATGGCAGAAATGTCTGTTCTCATTTTCTTCTAGCAGGCTGTGCGCGATTAAATGCTAATTCAAAGATGAGCTCTTCACGACAATTACGCCAGAGGGTCGCTTGTGTTGTGTTTTTGTGATCATAATAATTATAATATTTATACTCTAAAGTTTTTTTTTAAATTAAAAACATTATGTATCTATTTACTTTTCATCACCACGTAGCGCCGTGCTGGTCTCTTTTGATTTTAATTTCTTTTTAATTTTTGTTCTTTTTTAGCGGTTGATAATGATATTGTGAGACACCAAAACGTCCCGTATGTATTTTTATGTATTTTAGCCTTGTTTCCACTGTTTCCTTGTTGTTCTTTCATCTATTTTTATATTTATGAAAAAATTAAACACTAAGAAGTGGCCCGAAACCGTATGTAACAAGGTGGAGAAATGGTGCTGGGTCCACACCATTTCGCGGGGAAATTTTTGGTATTTCTTGGCTTTATGTATTTATCTTCCTAATTCTTTACCTATCTATCTATCTATCTTTTCATCTGCCTCGAAGATGGGATTTTCCCAGCATTGGTGCCCCTCCGCAAAGTGAAATGATATTCTGCCATGCTAAGGAAAAACGCCGAATGAACATTCGAGAGTTGCCAAATTTCCTCTCCGAAAATATTCATTTCTCAAGAAAGTTATAAATGTTTCCCTTGAAATTCTCAGACTTTATAGGTTAGATCACAAACAAAAGCCTCTGAAAAATTGGACGAAAAAAATTCTCAAATTTTTCTGAAAATTCGTGAGTCATCGAAGGAAATTAGGCAATGCCTGGTGGCTTATATGACGTTTTTATTTAGCACGGCCCTATTATCGCACGGTGGATCGAGTCAATAGGAGAGCTCGGACAAAATTAGGAAACTTTAAACGCTTATAACTTCGTTTATGTAAAACTTTGAGGCTCTAAATGTGGTTTCATTGGTTTTCTCGTAAAATTTCTACTGATTGCAACCCTTGAAATTCAAAATGTGACGAAATAAACATCAAAATTTGCAGTTTTAGTTTGTTATGAACAGGAAGAAAAAACCACATTGGATCTAGAGTCCAGACTCTTGAAAACATTTGACAAGAAAAAATACTCTTGATTCAATCGGATTTTTGCTTGAATCAAAACGAAATCCGCTTAAATTAAGAGGCTTGGTTCTTGATTTAAGCTAGATTCTGGTTGAATCAAGAGTACTTCTTCTTGTTGATATTTTTAAGAGTCTGGACTCTAAATCCAATGTTTTTTTTTCTAGTGAGGGAGGAGCCGGGGGCGAAGGAGGGCCAGGGGGTGGAGACTACGGTAGAGCGGGATCGGGGCTGAAATGGGAGCAAGAGCATGCAACAAGTAGCGGTACTCACCGAAAACTGGAACAAGGGTGTATGACCCAGTGGCCTGCGGCTTTCTGCCGTATGCGCTCCTTCATGAGGGCCTTCTTGGAGCCGAAGAGCTTCATGGCCAGCTTGTTGTCCGTCGGCTGGAAGAGGGCCTGGAGCTGGTTCTTGAGGAAGCTCTGCTTGCTGCTCGGGTCGTGGCTCCCGAGGCCCATGGCGCTGGTGCCGAGGGCCCCGTGGCCCCCGCCGTGGTGCCCGGCGCCGGACGGCCCGTGGCCCGCGTGGTGCCCCATCGGGAGCGGCCCGGGCTCCTCCTTAGGCGTGCCGTAGAGCGAGAACTCGTCCGGTTGCCCACCCCCGGTGAAGTGGACCTTCCCGCTGCCCCGGTGGTTGTACATGTCCGGGCCCCCGAGCTCGGTCAGGAGGAGCGTCTCGTCGTCGAGGGCTGTCACCAGGGAGTCCGTGTTCTCGATGCTGATCTTGACCGAGTCATCGCGCGAGAAACAAGAGCGCGCCGACTGAGCGAACCCCCCGCCACCGCTTCGGATCTCCTCCACCGACTGAGCGTGCGACGGCGACTGCGAGGCCGACGCCGACAGCCGCCCGTTGACCAGCTTGAGCCCCCCC